ATCGGGATCATACTTTAGCAATCTCCACCAGTCCAAACACTAGGAGTTTTGGAAGGTTCTCCATCAGTACCTGAAAGCAGCGTGATACCAGCTGACATTCGCTTAATGTGGGTCACTTTTGAGCATCAACTTCAACCCGGTTTTGAATCGCATTCCCACTTGAGGTGGCACCGTTGGCAGTAATCCACTGCGCCGTGAGAAAGACCTGACTAGTGCTGGAAAATTCACCGTCTAAGGAAGGTCACCATTAAAATTAAATCAACCTAATTTTCTTCGCTGTAACGTACTCCGGATCAGACTCGCTGGTGGACCGTTTTCGTGGGACGGTTTTCGACCCGAAAAGCTACAATTTAAACAGTTTTTCAAAAGATTTCTGGCAGGCGTCTTGGGACGCACGATCTCCTGTCCCACCGAGGCATCCGTTAGCGTGTCCGTGTCGGAACGGATCAACTCTTTGATCGACTGCAATTCTACCATCGATTTTCGGCACTGCTTTTTTTGGTTAAATTCACACGATAGCTGAAATCGAACACGGTCGACGATCCGGCGGAGGATGCTTCGTCTTCATTGTCCGAAGAAGTCAACGATTTGATACGACCGGTTTGGCTCGAAGCAATTTTTCGACGGAAGTTCCTCGAAGTTTTCGACGGAAGTTCCTTGTGGCAGTGGAATATAAATGCCACGCTGCTGCATCTGCTGACTAAAGTCGTCCTTGTTGTTGCACAAAGGGCACTTGAAAAAGTACCCCGCCGATTGGGCAAACTGTGCCATGCAGCTCCGATGGAACCAGACATTCTGACAGTACGAATCGATTCCAGCTTCCTGTACGGTCCCATCTCATCGTAGCAAATCCCACAGGCTTCGGTCCCGGATTATTTCACCTTACCCACCAGCGCTACGTGCTTATCGCACCACGACTGGAACGTATCCACGTAATGCGACAGGCACTCATTCTGCATCCCACAAAGCGTCTGAAATGAACGGAAGCACTTCTTCGTGCAACACAAAACGTTCGCATACCGTTCCTTGGGGCCCATGCATTAATTATGTCACGCTAAATCGAAGAGAAATTTACCCCCCCCCCCCTATCGTGACGTTTTTCCTATACCTAATGCATTGCTTGTCACAAAATCTTAAACCCCCCCCCCCCCCCCCCCCTAGAGCGTGACATAATATATGCATCAACTCTTGCAGATGTAACACTTTTGTCCTCGCATACGAGCTTCCTCATTTCTGATGTCCTCCTCCATGAATCCGAAGATTCCCTCCTCGTCTTCAGGTAACAAGGTACACGTAGCAGGTATAATGACTAGTTTTGCCACGTATAGTAGACCAGTCCAGAATAGTGCATCGTACCGCAATCATGCTCAAACGCTTGACATACAGCATCTCTAGCCGTAATAAATTTAAAAAAAAATCGGTTTCATCCGATCCTCCTTCATTCTCACCTCCAGCACGTCGATCGCCTTTTTGATTCGATGGATCTCGGCATGATTTTGGAGTAAATTTTCCTCCTTTAGATCGCCCTCGTCGAGAGCTTCCGGTTCCGCTACGGAGTAACGAATGTATACCGAGGATGGCCGCAAAAAAAAATTATAATAAAGTAACGAAATTACAATGAATTTTACGGCACATTAAAAATTTATTATTAAATTATTGGAAAGGAGAAATAATAAATTTCGTTTTTAACGATACAATTATCAATGAAAATTAATTTGATGAGATCAAATTTGTTCGACAAAAATCATTTTTTTTATTGTTAATATGCTTAGCTTAACAAGCCCCCTTTTTTATTGTACATTTCTCATATACCATGATTTTCGTTGTGATTTTATGGAAGGGGTAAGAGGGGCATAGTGAACAAGTGGGGCATAATGAGCATCCCATGCCTCAGCTTGGTCTTCTGGCCGTTCGGAACAAATTGGTTGGTGGTAGCCTTATACATTTTATTAATAATCAGCAATGGAAATTTGCCAAAAGGTATAAGGGGATTTTTATCAGTGCTGGCATCGGTAGCATTGGTGCTCAGTACGGAAAACCAGATCGACGAAAAACAAAGCAAAGGAAAAAAAAAAAAGAAATGAGATTAACAAAACTTTATCTGTACAAGTTCAGAAAAAGTTTCATATTTTTGAATTTCCTGCACTTTTTTCGAACAGTCCGCAATTCAAAAACCCAGTAAAACATTACTGACTGGATTAATGTGTATATGTTATGTGCAGCTTATCTGCTGTAATATTCAACAACTTTTTTTTACTGTTTCCCTAATAAAAAACTACCATACATGAACGAAAACCCAAATAATAAAACTATTCAACAAATGGTTTGGATGATACCCCGAACACGTCGGTAAGCAAAATAACCATAACAATTTTATTAGGGTTGGTTTTCAATTTCAGATTGAATTCCAATTTCCCATTTGCATCGACGTAAAAACTTGCCGCAGCTTGTTAACCGAGCTCGTGCTGCATAGGTGGAAGAGATTACTCCGTTGAAAACTTCATCTGCATGATAACTGGAAAGTTTGATAACTGGTACTTGTCGATGACGATTATCTCGTCTAATCAACCAATTCGACAGGGACATCCACTACCCGCACCCGTACCGGAAAATGTTTGGAATGATGAATAAGAAGAGGCTGAGCAGTCGAGGCAGCAAGAGACAAAAGCGTGACATCAAATCCTATGTCCCGATCGATTCGTACAGAAGTTTCAATGCGCCGCCTGTTCGGAAAGGATTCCCCGTGACATGAGCGAGCGTCACTACGCGAAGTATGCCGGCCATACCTATCGGGTTGATATCGATCCAGTGATCGATCTGTACGACGAAACTACTCCCACGGCGATTGTAATCCGCTCCATGAAAGTGCAGCGGCAAGTGACGATCTACTGCGACAAATGCAACGTGCCTAAGAAATCGGCTTTCAGATTAGTATTCCACCGGTTGGTTTGGCAAACACGACCAGTACTCGCACTGTCTGGTTCTGCAGAATAATAAGAAGAAGCTGGAGCAGACAAAACTGATATCCGGCAGCTTTGGTGGATCCTTCCAGTTCCGCTACGGAGGAGTGAATGTATACCAGCATACCGAGTATGGCCGGGTTCTGTTTGGCGTCCAACAACGAAGTCTCTGTCTTCTCGGTCGCGAATGACTGTGACTTAGGCTTCTAGCACGGACTGAAGAAATCTGTAGCAACAATTGCATCAAGCGCGAGTCATTGACAGCTCAACATCGTTTACTTGTAAGCAAATGTTAACCCGATGTGTTCATCCCTAATCATTTTGGCCTATGGTCTTTCATTATACAAAAGAAGCGATATAATGACATGCTGTTTGACAACAGGCTCTCCCTTTCAATTTTCGTTAGAGAAAAAGAGATAACAGGCGGTACCCCCTAGTTTAATCTAGTACATATGAGTAGATAGTGTTGCCGTGAGGTACACTCGAAAATTGTAAATGTAAGTGCGTCAAATCAAATTTCGAGCCGCTCCGTCTGTCACTTCGTTTGTGCTATTACCATCGGGGATTTTACCCGCTTCAGAGGGAATCGGCCCAGATCCACTGCCATTATTTATTGCAACTAAATTGTTGTCCGCAATAATTCTCGAAAATGAACTATTCATATTTTCCAATTTTTCATTTAATAATATTTCAAATCCGCCAACGGCTTCCTTCAGGGTACGATTTTCCATACCGGTCTTCAACGCGTTATCAATTTGAGCAGCAATCTGAACTCGCATGTTTGGAGGATCTGCTACTTGACTACTTGACTAGCCCATTGGTCCCAAGCAAACGATTAACGTACCCCATTCTAGTCTAAATTCTACTACTACACAATGATTGTTTTGATTCGATATGAAAGTTTGACAGATAAAATGAGGGGTTAATGGATTTTCCTATGTTTCGAGGGGTAAATCGATTAGCTTGGGACCGAAGAGAGTACCAGAGCTTAGCCAAAAAGTTGAGCACGTTATTTCGGGATATTCTAGTCTTAGAGTTACCTTTATGATAATACCATAGAGGATGTCAATTAGGGCTATCATTTTCGGTTGAAATCAAACTGCGGTAATATACAAAAAAGCTCCTACTGATTTTTTATTGTTTTGACACTTACGTCCCACATTGGTTCAATAGTGCAAATTTATTAACATAATTGTTTTCTGATAAATGCGTACATTTTGGCGTTTAAGTGTGTTCAGATAATATTCATAAATATATCTTTGGCATCTTCTGAAACATGCACCTTAATGCAGTATGGGCTTACCAAATGTATTTAAGGTGATTTCAAGAGCACAAATCTCAAGATTTACGAGGTTTATAAATCTCTAAATTTCAGAGATTGCTCGATTCTCCGTAGCAAACAACAAGTAGAAGTTTCAACTGTGGGCATTCACAAACATTATAATATTTTAACTTTTGAAATTGCGAAAAAGAAGGACGCTGCCTGGAATCACCTTGAGGAAACGATTGACGCAATCGTTTTCCATACAATTTGCCTTTTCATTTGCACGCATCTGGCGATCCACTTAATGTACAACAATTATAATAAATCTACATGTTTGAAGCATAGAAGCAAGTATTGCGTTTTCAGATCTGTATGACTTGTGGATGGCGAGATTAGTGCCAGTGAAAACGCGAAGTGGAGGGATTCCGTGACCGTTGTCCTTAAATTCTGTGTTCACCTAATTTTCTTCTTCTCTTATGGCGGTATGCTCGATCTCGGATTAACCTTCAAGCCCGCCCCTGTTTGAATGATCTCAAAGTGCTTGCTTAGAATCGTGTTGATTAACTTTGATGTCGATCTCAAAACAGCCGAACAGTCTTGATCCGAAGATAATACCGATTGGAGCTTATACCTTGTACAGACATACAAAGTACACTGTTGTACTACCGTTGTACTTCTTTAAGCTAGTACCTCAAATTGTACCTTTTGAGGTACTCGATTAAAGGAGTACAACGGTACTGCTTTGTATGTCTGTCAATGGTATTACCGCCATGAATGACAAGTTCAATCTTCATCCAACTCTTCATCGTCGCTAAAGTATGCACTCTTCTTGTACCGGACCCTTTTCACCCCCGACGATGACGACGTTCCTTCTCCCTGTCTCTCGGCTATCCTCCTCAGGCGATCATCGTCATCACTTTCCCATGCACCACCACCGCCACCATCAAAGTCCGTAGCTTGTTCCATCGATCGCTTACTGCCTCCACCCCCTCCTACTCCACCCCTCCGTCTGACCTTGGCCCGCGGTGGTGACTTATCGCCCAGTACATTGCGGGGACATTTGTAGCTCAAATGTCCCTGCTCGCCACACTCGTAGCACCGACTTTTATCCGGATACTCGCGCCGTTGGCCGAACTCGTCTCCCTTGCCGTTGTCTTTGGCGATGCTGGCCTTCAGCGTTCGGCCGAACATCTTTAAAATGTAAATCGTAAATTGGAAGTGTCATGAACTTTTAAACAGAAATTACCTCAACGTTGTTGAGCGACGTGCAGCAGAGGTCCGCTTCTTTGACATTGGAGAACAGAACAAAAGCAACACCTTTGCTTTTCCTGGTTTGTTTGTCTCGTAGGATCGTTACTCTTTTTCCGGAGTCAACAAAAAAAAGGGGTGGAGATAGCTTTTATTAAAGATTTTGAGTAATAAGTTAACGCACTCACTAACCTAACAACTTGACCGTATTTTTCAACAATCTTCCGAACATCGATGTTTGTCAAATCAAATGGAAGATTCGATGCGTAGACCGTATGCCTGGTACTGGAGGCAGCTGATTGGTTCATGATTTCCAGTAGATTTTAATTGTAGATTAATCACTATTGGAACACGTGAGACTAGCAAGAGAGTGTCTGTTGTAACTGAGTTTGAATCACTTTTGTAAACTTCTACCGCCACCGGTTTGTTTACCAACAAAAAAACGATGATCATCGAAATTCGAACAATCATTCGATGACAGATAAACACTGGATGAAAATGTTTAAGAAGTTTTGCGTCATTTACATTCGCGAAATAAAGGGCAGTCTGTATTGAGGTGAAAGTTGCTGGAATATCCACACTCTCTTTTATGGTTATTTTGCCTTTCCAAGTAACATTGCAAGTTTTATGGAGGTTTTAAAGCATGCTAGAAGTCTAAAGACCCACGCACATTAGATCCGGATCGGACGCGTTGCGGCAAAGTGACAGCTAAATCTATTGTCTAACTGTCAAATTTACGTCAACGCAACGCAAACGGATCTAATGTGGCTGGCCCTTAAATCATGGTCTACAGAACCTTTATAAAACTGAAATTGTTACTTGGGTTGCCACGAATCTCAAATACTATAGAGATTTCGAGCAGGAAATTGTAATCACGCATGGAAAATCATTTACATTCATTTCCTGCATTAATTTACATTCATTTGCGTCTAACTTTTTTCATCATCGGCGCCGGTGGTGTAGTGGTAAGCGTGATTGCCTCTCACCCCAAAGGGCCTGGGTTCAATCCCAATCGGCACCGCCGGGATTTCCTGAGGCATAAAATCTTTGATCACGCCTTCTTGCGAAGGGAAGAAAAGCCGTTGGTCCTCGGTCTATGAGTGAGATGATGGATCGATAGGTAGGGTAGGTATTGATACTCAGACTGTGTTCCATTTGGTGAATGTTGACTTAAATTTGGCAGATGGAAAACTTGCAAATAAACCTGCTATTGGACCAAACTTACTTCTGACAAACAAGGCATCAATTTTGACAAACACCTTCTTGAAAATCGAACGAACAACAACAGAAAGATTTTCGAACATCTTTATTTATTTGTGTCAAATTTAAGTGAAAATTCACCAAATGGAACACAGCCTCAGTACGGGAAAAAAATCAAGGAAAAAAAACATTTTTCATCAACAGAATTCCGTAAAATATTTTATGAAGTTTTTTTTTTCCTTGATTTGTTTTCCGTCGATCTTGTTTTCCATGCTGGGCACCAATGCTACCGACGCCAGGGAGGCAGCTCTCACCACTGGACCCTACCTATCGACCCATCAACTCATGAACCGGGGACCAACGGCTTTACTTCCCTTCCGAAGGAAGGCTCAATTCTTAAATTCCTATATTCTTAAATTCCTTAATTCCTAACTTCCTAACTTCTAAATTCCAAACTTCCTAACTTCTAAATTCCAAACTTCCTAACTACCTGAACTTCTAAATTCCTAAATTCGTCAATTGGGTTCTTTGAGGGTATTAAGGTAAATGCATATTCGTAATCTGCATTAAAAATGGAACCCATACTCAAAATTTCATCAATTTTGGCACTCTGGAACTATTTTAAATAAGTACGATTACATTTGCAAAAATCACCTAATTAGCGCCCCTCGGTGTCACTTTGTATGGGAGCGAGCTGTCAGTTTGTCAGTTTAGTGTCAAAGAGTGAAGTTATTATTTTGCTTTAAATCATGATTTAAAAATCGAGATGAAAGTGCGTGGGGTTGAAAAAAATATGGCTGTGCTCAGAAAACGAAGCTC